GCCTGAGGTCCCACAGCTGCTGCCTCCAGGGAGCACAAGGGACTAGACACTCCATTCCACCTGTTTTCCAGAGATTCATTGCACAGCACTCAAGCTCCTTTTACACCTGGATAGGACTCACTGAGAGCGATGGCTCCTGGAAGTGGGTGGACGGCACAGACTATGGGAACAGCTACAAGTAAGTGCCCCCTCCCCGCCCCACCCATCCTTAGGGACCAAATCCCCAACCCTCTCCCCTCCAGACTCCCAGCCTCCCAGGCTGCAGCCTCTGCTCCCTGAACTCTCCCAGGCTGTGCTTTTGTGAGGTGGGTGAGGGTTGCTGGGATGGGGTGGTCAGTCTGAGCTCTGTCCTGCATTCCTAGGAACTGGGCCATTGGTGAACCAAACAACTGGCAGGGGCACGGGGAGGGCAGAAATGAAGACTGTGCCGAAGTCGTGCCTGGTGGGCGCTGGAACGACGATTTCTGCCTGAATATGCAGCGCTGGGCGTGCGAGATGACACGGAACATCACCGGCTAGGAGCCCTGACCCCAGCAGATCTCCACCTGCACCCCACCCCTATCCTGCTCCCAGCTTCTCTACTGGGGATTTGGAAGAAAGGAAGAACAGGCAGAGGCATTGGGAGGAGCTGAGGGAGGATGGAACAAAATGGTTTCAGAATCTCAGACCCCGGCACACAGATCCCGCCTCCTCCTGCTACTCACTGTGAGGGCCACCATTTCCTCGGTGGAGAAGGAAAAAAATAAACGAAACACTTCACTCTGTGTGGGGACTGGTTATTGGGAACTGGGAGTGCAGGGTGCAAAGAAGGGGACGCAGAGGGTCTGGGAGGAGGTTTAGTCCTAGACAGCTTCTCCTGGGTCCCCAATCCTGAGGGACATGGACAAGGGAGGGGAGGGAAGACCTGGGAGCAGAAGCACTCAGTGGCAGGCACCAGGGAGTTTGCTGTGCTGGGCCAGCTGCGAGGGGCCGCCCACAGCCTGAGGGGCTCCTGGAGGAAGCACTTTCCCTGCAGCTGGGGTCTCCTCCAGAAGAGGCTGCAGGGGCACCCCACTCCCCTCAGCCTGGGAGCTGTGGCCTGGGCTGCAAGGCCAGTGAAGAATGTTGTAGGAGAGGGAGGGTTGGTGACCCTGTCCTGACGGCACAGACTATGGGAACAGCTACAAGTAAGTGCCCCCTCCCCGCCCCACCCATCCTTAGGGACCAATTCCCCAACCCTCTCCCCTCCAGACTCCCAGCCTCCCAGGCTGTAGCCTCTGCTCCCTGAACTCTCCCAGGCTGTGCTTTTGTGAGGTGGGTGAGGGTTGCTGGGATGGGGCAGTCAGTCTGAGCTCTGTCCTGCATTCCTAGGAACTGGGGTGTAGGTCAACCAAATAACTGGAAGGGGCACAGGGACGATGCAGATGAAGACTGTGCCGAAATCCGGGAGGATGGGCTCTGGAACGACGATTTCTGCCTGAAATTGCAACACTGGGCATGCGAGATGACACGGAACATCACCGGCTAGGAGCCCTGACCCCAGCAGATCTCCACCTGCACCCCACCCCTACCCTGCTCCCAGCTTCTCTACTGGGGATTTGGAAGAAAGGAAGAACAGGCAGAGGCATTGGGAGGAGCTGAGGGAAGATGGAACAAAATGGTTTCAGAATCTCAGACCCCGGCACACAGATCCCGCCTCTTCTGCTACTCACTGTGAGGGCTACCATTTCCAGCCTCCTAGGTGGAGAAGGAAAAAAATAAAGGAAACACTTGACACTCTGCGTGGTCTGGTTATTGGGAACTGGGAGTGCAGGGTGCAAAGAAGGGGACGCAGAGGGTCTGGGAGGAGGTTTAGTCCTAGACAGCTTCTCCTGGGTCCCCAGTCCTGAGGGACATGGACCAGGGAGGGGAGGGAAGAGCTGGGAGCTGAAGCATTCAGTGGAAGGCACCAGGGAGTTTGCTGGGCTGGGCCAGCTGGGAGGGGCCGCCCACAGCCTGAGGGGCTGCTGGGGGAAGCACTTTCCCTGCAGCTGGGGTCTCCTCCAGAAGAGGCTGCAGGGGCACCCCACTCCCCTCAGCCTGGGAGCTGTGGCCTGGGCTGCAAGGCCGGTGAAGAATGTTGTAAGAGAGGGAGGGCTGGTGGCACCCTGTCCTGCTGTTTTCAGTGGCGGCCTCTTTGTGACCCAAACAGATCTAGTCAGATGTCCAGCACAGGGTGTCTCCGACATGTCCACAGCGGGCAGACCTCATCCTCCAACATCATCCAAAACCAATCTTAGAAGGGTCTTCAAGCAATTCCATTTCTCTTTTATTCTCATTACAAAAGTAACATATCCAATTAGCGAAAAATGTTTTAAAAAAGTTTCCCTTTAAGTTACGTGGGAACCGAGAACAACGCCGTATGGAGCCCTCCCTGGGTAGCACGGAAAGCAATTCCATTTCTCTTTTATTCTTATTACAAAAGTGACATATACCCCGCTGGGCACAATTTATTTCTTTCTAGAAAATATTTTGCACACACACACACACACACACACACACACACACACACACAAAGAGATTTGTCACAAGGATTTGGCTCCTGTGACTATGGAGGTTGACAGACCCAAGTCCTGGGGTGAGCAGACCAGCTGGAGGCCCAGGGGAGCCCATGGTGGGATGACAAAGGCAGCAGCCCGAACGCCCAGCGGGTGATGTCTCCCCTGAGTCCAAAGGCAGGAAAAGCCAATGTCCCCATTCAGAGCGGGTCAGGACCTCTCTGGTGTCATGGAGGCTCGGCCTCTGGTTCCATGCAGGGCTCCAACAGTGGGAGGAGGCCCACCCTTGGGGAGAGCAATCTGCTTTCCCACCTCAAACGTTCCTCTCGTGGAAACACCCTCCCAGGCGCACCCAGATAGGACTGACCCGATTCCAGGCACCTGTGGCCCAGTCAGTGGACATGAAAGGTTTCCTGTGGGTGTGCCCTGCGAACGTGCACATTTGCCACACTGCCCTGCACTACGCAGCGGGTCTTCCCGCTCTCCCCTGCCTTGTGGACTTCGATCCAATCTTCGCTCTTCCCGTGGAGCTTAGCAAGGGTGGAGAATTCCAAAATATGGATATGCCCTACGTTAGTTACTCATTCCCTGTGGTATACCACTACGCAGCGGCTCTTCCCGCTCTCCCGTGCCTTGTGGACTTCGATCCAATCTTGCTCTTTCCGGGGAACTTAGCAAGGGTGGAGAATCCCAAAATATGGTGTGCCCTGTGTTAGTTACTCACTCCCCGTGGTATATAAGGAGTTGGGATATTTGTATATTTTCACATATAATATTTCAAGCAAATTTTGCTTCTAAGCCTGTGATCGGAAAAGACTTCTTAATTATCAGTTGCAAAATTTTCTGGGATTTCTCCTTCTAAATGTACATGATTGACATGAAGTAAAATAAAGTATAGAAGCAATAATACATGCAACTCTTCTATATGTACATGATTGACATGAGGTAAAATAAATTATAGAAGTAACAATACATGTAACTTAAAGTTTTTGTGAGGCTAGGAAATGCCACTCCTGCTCTTTAGAGAAACCACTCTCTGTTTATTAGCTGTTTCTTCCATATTGGCATCTGAATTTCTAGATAATGCACATAAACGGATAAACCTTGCCAATTGCTGACATTATTTAGTCACTACCCTGTACATGAGGTACAATCTTCCAACTGAGTCTACAACAATTTCTATTTAAATCGTAATTCAGAATGTGTATCAGCTATGGCTGCGTCAACAGTGGTAAATGCTGAGCCAAGTAGGATCATCCGATTACATTTCCTTTCTTGCACAACTTTTGTTTCTTCTGAAGTTCATAATTATTTCATTTAAGAAGATGCTCCATGCTCTTTGAACCTATTGCAAAGTCTTCCTTACCTGTAAAAAGCCTGGCAGTATAATCACCTACTCCTGTAAACTAGTCACAGAACAACTGGTGTTTCAGTTGCACCTTTTTCCTAGAGTCACAGGGGTAAATGGAAATTTTATGAAGTTTGAAGTGTACACAGTTTGGGGGAGCTGTCCTTACAAAAGAATACAAAATTAAGCATAAAATTTAATATTTCTTTAAGTTAAAAACTCACAAATTTAAAAAGCTGAAGCTGCCATAGCATCCCAAACATGACATAGTATTTTAAATCATCTCCCAGCACGCCTCTAAACTCTGTTTTCCCTGTACTCTTTGCTGCACACACATTGTTTACATGTGACAAGGGTTGTAAGGTGAGTGTCCACAGAGAGAAGAGATTGTCGAGTGTTTCCTCTGGTGCGGTTCTTCTATGTTACTGCTGTCAGGTCCTTCAGGGCCTGCGCATGTGCCACCTTCATGTCACCTAAAGGAACCTGCACCGTGGGTGACAGAACTGCCCCTGAACGCCATTCCAGAGCTGGCGGGACAACCCTACGCATACACAATGTGACTGCAGACGACACAGGAACCCTCTCGCTCAAGTCAACTTCCTATTCAGGTGGACAAAAGCCAGGTGACACGGAGGAGGAATGTGTGAAGAAGGGGGAGTTTGAGTGGAAAGTGGCAGTGGCCATCTGAGCCAATTGTAGTCAAAATAACTTTTGTTTTCATCATTTACAAAAACTTACAATTATGTAAAAACACCACTAGGGCCCTTGGGGACCTTGAAGGGGCCCGAGAGAGGCCCTTGAGTTCAAGCTCCCTTAGGCTGGCTGTCAATCCATGTCTTCCCTCCCCCCAGCCCCTCTGCCCCACAGCCAGTCTCATGTCCTCAGACCCCACCAGAGAGGCTGTTTCTAAGCCTGTGGCAGAGCCGTTATCTTGGAACTTCCTACCCCTCCTGAGAAATTCCTGGTCCTTTCTCTTGGATTGGATCCTCTCTTGCCTGGATCTGGAAGTACTAGAACAAATAGACAAATCCATATGTATAGTAGGAGATTACAATACATCTCTCTAATCATTGACAGATTGAACAGACAAAAAAAAAATCACCAAAGAAACATGTGTTGAGCTCCAGGTTGTACTATTATGATCCAATTGACGTATTTAATACACTGCGTTCATTACCTACATAATGTGCATGCTTTTCAAATACCCTGGGACTTTTTTTTAAAAAAACTGATCAAATACGCAGGCCCCAGAGAAAGCTCAGATGCCTGGGACTTGGGTCATAACTGAGCAAGAGCAGAGAAAAAGGCTTCTCTGGTCCTGGGTTTACAATGACGGCAACACCAACAATACTGGGGAATTCTGATGCAGGAAGTGAAAGGGGGTGTGGGGCAGAGGAGCAGTAACAGACTGTACCAGTGAACCCTGCTGGGAAAACTCCCCTCTCCCAAATGGTAAAAATGAGGAAGTGGGGGGAATGCAAAAGAAGCAGAAAGGAAGGAGACACACCCTGGAGGAGAGTGAGGTTGACCATATAACCACTGCCACCTATGTAGCCCTTTGCCTGTGCCCAATCCCAGTTAATTCTCCTCTTAATTTACTGTGTGACGTCTGGGAATAGGAGGAATCAGACTCGATGTTTCGCAGTCACAGGAATCAGGCATCTAAAATGAAATTATTTTTTAAAATATATTTTTACTGATTTCAGAGAGGAAGGCAGAGGGAGAGAGAGACAGAAACATCAGCGATGAGAGACTCATTGATCGGCTGTCTCCTGTACGTCCCATGAGCCCGCAACCTGGGCATGTGCCCTGACCTGAAATCAAACCGCGACCTCCTGGTTCATAGGTTGATGCTCAGCCCTGAGCCACGCCATTCGGGCTAAAGTGAAATGTTTCTCCCTTCTCCGTAACCAACATGTGCTCTGGAGCACATGTTACAGTTCTGCAATATCATGTGACCATGTTTGCTATTTTAATAAGAACATTCTTCATTGAAACCGGTATGCTTTTTCTGGGAGTACACGGCTCTAAAGAATACGACTACTACAGTTTGGTGCCACTGTCTTGGCTCATGCTAATTTGTGAGCCGTTTTCGACACCATGCATTTTGCACCATCTGCGTCCCTTTTAACACAGTGGAAAATCAAATGTCATCTTTGTATTATGATGAAAATAGCTTTTCCAAAAAGGCCTCCGGTAAGTTCAGTATCCCATGAACTGCAGACCGAGAACCCTTGGTGTAACGTAGCTCGTTCACATCATTATTGTGTATCTAGACACATTAACGAATTCTCATTACAGTAATCCCCTCTTATTCACGGCTTCACTGCCTATATGTTTAAAATCCATCTGCACTTCACATGATCTCATCACATATGTTGTCCATCTTTTCCCTACGTTATCCTTGTCAGATTTAACAGTATCTTCACTGATTTTTTTGTACTGAGAAATGGTATTTTCATTGTCTCCCTTGTTCTTAGGACTCACAACAGAATTTTTATAATCTTTAACTTCTTTACTTACTCCCAGGTTTTTCTCTGTGGCTTTCATTTGGAGAAGTGTTTCTAAGATACTTTTTTCTGAGGAGCTATTTTTCCATATATATTCTTCCTTGTCTACTTCAGTCTTATTTTTCTCCCATTCTTCAGTTTTCCAAGACTCTTGGTATAAAACTATTAGCAGATACATTGCACAATCATGATTCTGTCTCTTAAAGGGTACCTGTTTTAACAGTACGCACATCTGTGGCCTTACAGTATTGCTCTCCCACAAGTTTAATAGGTTTCTTCTTCGCATGATTATCTAAATTCACGCTATAAGATTCACACTTTACCCTTAAAGTTACTCCTCGTGCTCTGGGGTTTCAAACAGATGCCTGATGAGAAACAGAATCC